TCTTCCTCCTCGACAATTTTTACATATTGCTCCATTTATTTAAATGTATAAGAAATAACACTGACACGAATCAATCTGTTCTGACAGTTTAATTTCCTCGAGATGTATTTAATGACAGTTTTACAGTTGTAACAGTTGCACTGTGACTTTCACGTGCATTTATAAAATGCGAATCGTATGTAAATATATGTAAAATATCCACAATAGAAGTCTTGTAACTGGGCTGTGAATCTTACGTGCATTTATGAGAGATTTAAAGTGCAAAAACAAATGACACAGAATATGAAAAAACGACATAAATTTATAAATCTACAGAGACGCCTCTGAATTTCTATATTCCTTCAGGAATAAAAAAAGGTGTCCTTATTTTCTTATCTACTACGCGATACAAAAACATTCTTTTTGGAAAAGAAATTAATTCAGAATTGTCAAAGTAGAGAGAGTAAGAAACGAGGTCAACTGAACTGTTACGCGAGTCTTTTTGTACAAAAGTTATAATAACTTGAAATATTTTTCATTGTCATCAACAATTGTTACATGTAAAATAGAGGACCTCTTGTCCTGCACGATAGAGAAAAAGAAAGAATTAATCGTTGCGAGTGCTGCTACCACGGAAAATAGATTATCACGATATCACAGTGAATGGCTGTGATAGTGCAGAAAGCAGTAACGCTGTGAAATATCTACCGTGTCCATTTAGTCAACGAAATCTAATTATCTCGTCGGGAATTGTTACGTATCTAACGAGCCTTATGTTGCGGATCGATACGATTACAACGTAGGAGCCGTGTAACGTGACGAAATGCATACGAAGAGGCTTTGTCCCGGCAAACGGACGTTGCATCGAACCCCAATTAACGCGAGCTAACGGAGTACAAGGTGATAGGCAAATTAGAATTTATCATTCCGTGCCTTGACTTTACCCTGTCCTGCTCTTACTAACCGCTCGCGCTGGAATTGACGTGCCGCGCGCGTCGAGTATTGTTTGTCCCAAAATTGCAATAACAAAATATATAAAATAGAATAATAAATTAAAAGCAAATAATAAATTTGTTACTTCTCAATAATTACTATTCAGTGATACCGACGAGTTATAAAAAGAAAGCGACGAATTGTTGGTACACGGTTTGGTCACTCGTTATGGTCCGCAATCGGTTTGTCAGCGCAAGCGGTTAACCACGCACGTCGAGAATTTTTTGTTCCAATATTGTAATATTTTTTCAGTTCTAAATACATCTAAGTAAAAGAAAATAGGCAAAGGCAAATAGTAAATTTGTTACTTCTCAATAATTTCTATCCAGTGATACCGACGAGTTCAAATAGAAAGCGACGAATTGTTGGTACACGGTTCGGTCACTCGTTATGGTCCGCAATCGGTTTGTCAGCGCAAGCGGTTAACCACGCACGTCGAGAATTTTTTGTTCCAATATTGTAATATTTTTTCAGTTCTAAATACATCTAAGTAAAAGAAAATAGGCAAAGGCAAATAGTAAATTTGTTACTTCTCAATAATTTCTATCCAGTGATACCGACGAGTTCAAATAGAAAGCGACGAATTGTTGGTACACGGTTCGGTCACTCGTTATGGTCCGCAATCGGTTTGTCAGCGCAAGCGGTTAACCACGCACGTCGAGAATTTTTTGTTCCAATATTGTAATATTTTTTCAGTTCGAAATATATCTAAGTAAAAGAAAATAAGCAAAAGCAAATAGTAAATTTGTTACTTCTCAATAATTTCTATCCAGCGATACCGACGAGTTCAAATAGAGAGCGACAAATTGTTGGTACACGGTTCGGTCACTCGTTATGGTCCGCAATCGGTTTGTCAGCGCAAGTGGTTAACCTCTTGCGCTTGAATGACGTGCCGCGCGCGTCGCGAATTGTTTGTCCCAAAATTGCAATATTTTCTCAATTTTAAGTATATCTAAATGAAACAAAATAGGCAAAAACAAATAATAAATTTATTACTTCTCAATAATTTCAAGTTATAAAAACAAAGCGACGAATTATTGGTACACTCGTTTGGTCACTCGTTATGGTCCGCAATCGGTTTGTCAGCGCAAGCGGTTAACCACGCACGTCGAGAATTTTTTGTTCCAAAATTGTAATATTTTCTCAGTTCTAAGTATATTTAAGTAAAACGAAATAGGCAAAAGCAAATAATAAATTTATTACTTCTCAATAATTTCTATCCAGTGATATATCATACCGACGAGTTATAAAAAGTATATCTAAGTAAAACGAAATAGGCAAGAACAAATAATAATCTCAGTTCTAAGTATATCTAAGTGAAACAAAATAGGCGAAAACAAATAATAAATTTCTTGCTTCTCAATAATTTGGAGTTATAAAAAAAAAAAAAAAGCGACGAATTATTGGTATACGATTCGGTCACTCGTTATGGTCCGCAGTCAGTTGCCCAGCCGCATGTTGTTAACACAGAAACGGATTGAACTAATTTTCCAAGACGATTCACCCTCGTGACGGACGATAATCCCGAATGCTAATCGGAACACGGGAAACGAAACAAACGCGTGTCGAACTTTCGCGTAATCGAATAATCGGGATTCGCGGGTCGACGTTCGCGTTGCAATCGGTGTGTACACGCGTCGTAATCGCCGCTGTACATCCATTTGCTGCCCAACGGTAATCGGTTTATCCACTTCCACTCTCTCTTTGTCCCAGTTTACTGCAGTTGGCAAAAGCGCGTTTATCCAAGAACGAAATTGATGCCGATTACCTCGCGGAAATAGGCGCCGATCATTTATTTCCTCGCCGAGTTCGAACTCGGCGGCAGAACGCTGGCATTTTCCATCGGTTCTCACCGATTTATTTCCATCGTGCATCGCGTTCGAACGACAATGGACGATTCGTGTCATTTTCGCATTCGTATTCGACTTGATTGTACAGGGTGGGTCACTGGAATGACTGGATGATATAAAAGAAAAATAATGAAGCGTTTTTTTAATTTTTTTACTATTTTATTTGGAAATATAATTAATGGATATAGATATAATATAATAAGAAATACGATGAAATATGAATGTGATGCGAAAAGTCCAACGTAGGCATGGGACACTTTTCTTTTTAAAACAAGAGTCGAGCGAATTAAAAAAACCGAGTCTTGAGAGAGAATTCAGAAAGAGCTGTTAAAAATGTGTCAAAAGAATTTATTTGAGCTGTTAATTCGTGTTAATCGAATGTTATTTGTTTTGTTTAATTATTTGCTGTTCTGTTATCATTACTCCTTTTAAATAAATATTATTTATATTATATCTATACAAATTTTATTATATAATATTATATTAATTAATTAATTAATATTATATAAATTAATATTAATATTGTATAATATTAGTATATAATACTATATTAATAATTAATGTTGTATAATATATTAATATTAATTTGTTGTTCTATTATCATTACTCCTATTAAATAAACATTATTTATATTATATCTTTACAAATTTTATTATATAATATTATATTAATTAACTAATTAATTTAATATTGTATAATATTAGTATGTTTTACACTAATGTTGCATAATATTAAATTTTTTTAAATAAACATTTATATTATATCTCTACAAATTTTATTATATAATATAATATTAATTAATTAATTAATTAATATTATATAATATTAGTATGTAGTAATATATTAATAATTACTATTATATAATATATTAATATTAATTTGTTCTATTATCATTACTCCTATTAAATAAACATTATTTATATTATATCTTTACAAATTTTATTATATAATATTATATTAATTAACTAATTAATTTAATATTGTATAATATTAGTATGTTTTACACTAATGTTGCATAATATTAAATTTTTTTAAATAAACATTTATATTATATCTCTACAAATTTTATTATATAATATAATATTAATTAATTAATTAATTAATATTATATAATATTAGTATATAGTAATATATTAATAATTACTATTATATAATATATTAATATTAATTTGTTCTATTATCATTACTCCTATTAAATAAACATTTATTTATATTATATCTCTACAAATTTTATTATATAATATATTATTAATTTTATTATATAACCTACAAAAAAAAACTAAAAAAGATTGAAAATGAACAAGTTACGACATTTTCAAACCCTTCAGTTTTTCAGTGATCACCCTGTATATCCTTCCAACGAACGATGAACGACTGTATGTTATACTAGTCACAAAAGACAATGCAGTATCCTCTGACTACAGTATCCTATGTTTGATGACCCTAATAATAATTCGGAATTCTGAATTTCGAAATTTTAATTGATAGGATTCTTGTTTTTTTTTTTTTTTTTGGCGTTGTATAAATATTTTGGTATGAAGATGAGTTTGAAATTTCATCATTTCCTTAACCTTCGAAATTAATCTTTTCGGTATTTAATTAATTTTTTCAGAATTTTTTTGTCATTCGAAGCCGTTGATTTTTACTCGATAGAAAATTATAATAGTTGGGTTATTGCACGTAAACGTTTTCATTAAAATCTGAAATATAACCGATATATTACATCTTCCTTTAACTTTTATTTAGTTCATACTTGTGACAATCCTGTAATAATAACGAATAATAAGATAATAGATTTACTTGTTGGAAATTTAAGGAGAATGATTATATTGTAATGTTAAAAGCTGTCGCGTTTAAAAATGAACGCACTCCATAAATTTTAAATTTCAAACAATTTATAAGTCGTCTCTCGTTTGTCAATTTTGACAAAATTTTATTCAAAAAAAAAAGAAAAAAAAAAAAAAAATATATATATATATATATATATATATATATATATATATATATATATATATATACACATACACACGCACACACATATTTTTGTATTAAATTTTTTTTCCACTCGTTGTCGGACGTGACAAATTAGTGCGACGCGAGTTTTATCGTGATTTAGCATTAACTCTCGGCAATTAATCTTCCCCTGGCGAGTAACATCGATATGAATTGGATTTTCAGCGTCAACAGCGACGGCCTGTCACCCCTGGACGTTGCGGTGCTCAGCAACAACAGGCCGCTTGCAAAAATGCTGGTCGCGTTCGGCGCGCAGGAGGGTAACCAGTGTAAGTACCCAGGTTTTCTTTTTTTTTTTTTTTTAACTGTCACTGGCAACGATTTCACGAAAATTTATTTACTCGATGACGAAGGTTCCGAGCTATTATGTATTTAGGATGGAAGTAAAAAGCTACGATGAATCACTCTTTAAGGGGGGCAGTACAGTTTTTGACGGGCCTAAAAATTACCTATACTTTGGAGGACTAGTAAAAAAAAAAAAAAAATTACACATTTGATTGCCATGAGTCTTTGTGGTTTATTTTAACACATGAACTATAAAAGGCAATATTAAAAAAGAAGAAAAGGGCTCTTAATTAGTTTTTAACGGGCCTAAAAATTATCTATACTTTGGAGGACTAGTAGAAAAAAAAAAAAACTATACATTTGATGGACATAAGTCTTTGTGGTTTATTTTAACATATGAACTATAAAAGGCAATATTAAAAAAGAAGAAAAGGGCTCTTAATTAGTTTTTAACGGGCCTAAAAATTACCTATACTTTGGAGGAAGTCTTTGTGGTTTATTTTAACACATTGTGAACTATAAGAGGCAACATTAAAAAAGAAGAAAAGGGCTCTTAATTAGTTTTNTAAAAATTACCTATACTTTGGAGGGCTAGTAAAAAAAAAAAAAAAAAATACACGTTTGATTGACATGAGTCTTTGTGGTTTATTTTAACACATTATGAACTATAAGAGGCAACATTTAAAAAAGAAGAAAAGGGCTCTTAATTAGTTTTTTAACGGCATCCTTTTACATAACTTTTTTTTTACACTGTAGAAACATGGAATTTACTTGGAAAGGTTTTTATATTAAAATAAAATAGAAATGATATATTCTAGTATTTTTGGTATTCTTACATTTCTTATAAATCTATTTATTTAGTTTATTTGTAATGATATAATCGTAATAGTATTTGTAACTATTGAATAATAATTTTTCTACTTTTTATTTGATCTTGAATATGAATAAAATTAATAAACATGGATATTCATACAAATTTATAATTTTGTTCGGTTATTAATATTGAATATTAATAAAATTAATAAACATGGATGTTTATACAAATACAATCAAAGGAATAGAAATTTGTATCGAGTATAATACTGAATATTTTATATTTTATATTCACATTTTTATATTTTATATTTATATTTTATATTTTATATTTACATATAATATTATATATTCTCTGAATATTTTTATGTTTAGTTTTATATCTTGTTAATTCTGTTAATAGATGAACATCAATAATCTAGTAATGAAATATTCGAGCAACTCGTTGCTTTAATAATTAACGACTAATAAATATTTTTGTAAAATTACAGAGACACAAAACGATGAAAAAAAAAGTTGAATTTTTCGCATTTCCTTTCATTATCTCGACAAAAATTTAAAAAATTTCGCAATACAAATTCACTGAAAAGAATTGCAAATGATATATTGCGCCAACATTGATCTTCAGCAAACCAAGTTCCACTTGATTCGACTTGATTAATAAAAAAATGTGTACTTTGATAAACATCGATTTTGCGAACAGAAGAGTCAAGAGTAAATTTATTATAAATTTAGAAAGTTGTGAATTCGCTTTTTTTTTTCGATTTTCTCGCTTATAACAGATACACGAACGATCGAGCAAGAAAGTGAAAGTGAAAGTGAAGAGAGAATTTTCACGGAATCATTCATTTTCTAGGATCAGTTCAACTTTTGCTTTTTCTTTTTCCTTTTTTTTT